AAGAGAGCACGCGAAAGCCAGACTAATTAGTTAAGCTCTTTGGAAGAAAGAGACATTTTTGGCAGCAGACAACCGTAGCAAAAGAGTGAGAGCTCTGTATCATCATAATCACCATTTTTCAACTTTTTTTCGCCTACAGTCTATTTCATTTTACGGGCGAGCGGTGAATAAGTTTACAACCTCCCTGCCGAATACGCGTGCTTGTGCAAAACTAACATCGTTTATAACGACATGATCGTGCTTCGAATTTGATTGCCCATAAAGCGAAACGAACTACGGAGTAAATTAAATATCTGAATATCCTAAAACTTTGGTGGAAGTGCGGATGATCCATTCCTTTTCCTCCGGCAATCTTTCACTTACGGTACACATTTACTGAATGAAGTATTGATGCGAAAGCATTAACTGCGCCATGGAGCGAGCTGACGTCATCAGTTTGAAGCGCGAAAACGGCACCTAGTTTCCGCGATCCCAGTACGAGCGAAGTAAAGCTGATGGATTTAGCCTTCGGTTTCATTGGCTGGCGCGCGTCGACGGGGCTCCCATTGGCCGCTGCGCTCGTCAGTTTCCACGACCGCTTACCCCATGGCGCTACGTGTCCATCAGCGCGCCGTTAACACGGAGCGTCCAAGGTCAGCGTGCCCAGGGGAGCACGCGCGCTGACCGGCGACGAAAAGTACGCAGCAGACGACAAAGGGAGCGGACGAGCGGCTTGCATGCTTTCGCATTCACAACTCAAATGTAATCACTACTGCGTGATGCACGTTAAAGACCCCAAGCTAGCGCTTGTACTGCACTGGCTAAATTGCTAAATTGCTCATCTACAGCGTGTGACTCGTCGCAACTTTAAATGGCTGACCAACTACGCGCTGTATAAATATCCCCACAACCCCAATTATTACAACTCATATGTACTTAGGTGTACCTCGAGCTTTTTTTTTCATGGGTAAATTCGACCAAAACATATCTGCCACGGATGCGATGTTTCTGCTTGTTGGTAATTTTTTTGTGCAGTATGCTGTCTGCGCGTGCAATATCAAATGATAATAATAATGTTAATAATACTTATTATTAATATTATTATCATAATAGCGAAGCATGCGATTCAAAGATTTTGTAGGAAGTAATAATATTTTGGGCACTAATCAGTATGGGGCAAGGGTGCTCTCCAACTACGCAGCTGATAGAAGTTTTTCATAACCTTAGCAGAAATGTAGATAACCGGGGACAGACGGATGTCGTGAGATTTCGCCAAATCTTTTGATCGCGCATCGCATCCTAACTTATTGCACAAGCTCAATGTCATTCTAAACAACAGTCAAATTGTACATTGGTTGGAAGCATACTTATGAGAAAGGGATATTCATCTTCGGGACGGAGGAAGCAACTCATTACCAGTGCTAACCGGTGTTCTGCAGAGTTCGGAGCTGGGCCCGCTCCTTTTTATCATCAGCGACATGAGTGACGGATTCGGTTCCGGGATAACTGCGAAGCACTTTGTAGATGATACTATAATTTACTCTAATATCTGTTCCACCGATGTAACTGAATATAAAGAAAACTGTCTACATAAATGTAACACGAAAAAAAGAAGAAAAACAGTGCTTGGATTTATTTAATATATTAAAAACGTTCTAGTGATGAGTAAAGTTTCTTAATATAAGTACCTCAGAGTGCACCTTAGCTTCGATCTAAATTGGAACTTCCATATTGAGCATGTATGGAAAAAAGCACATAAAGACTGTGGACCCTGAAAAGAAAGTTAGATCATGCGTGTTCAGAGGCCAAATTAATGGCTGTGAAACGTCTACCTTTACCAACAATCGACTACGGAAGTCCAGTATGAGAGCCATTTACCTGTAAAAATTTCTATAATTTGGAAAGCATGCGAAACAAAGCAGTCAGGTCTATTTATGACAGTTATGTCAGCAAACTCCTTCACTAAGCTCAAGTCCCGAGCAAATCTAAGGAGTGTTAAGACGAGAATGACAATAAATAAGGTGTAACTTTCACTTTTTTGCAAATTTTTTTTTTTGTACATAAGATAAGTCAATTCCAAATGCGTTACAATTCCCGAAGTTGTGCCACATAGAACGAAACATAATTTGTATATTCAACCATATTGGTACTCCATAGATCGTTTCAAATATTAATATTTTATTGTTCGCTGTATTGATCAGTGGAACACACTTCCTGCATGTGTTGTCAATTGTGGCGATGTCATATCATTTACAAAACAATTTGAACTGCTTAATCGATGTGAGTGACCAGCGTTCTTGCATTTATTTTGTTTGTCTCGTTTATGATGTTTTTTTGTGCTTGTTTATTATGCGTAATATTCCTGATTTGGCTTCACGGCTGGTAGAATCTATAACATAAATAAAAAATTAATGAAATCACAATGTGATTTGTTGGTTAACTGGATCCAGTGAAATAAGGCTGCTATGTAATTAAGGTACCCACAAGGGTAAGAGCGTACTGTCAATCCGTCCTTGATTTTTTTTACGAACTGTGTGGCAATAAATTTTTGAAGTAGGAGCTATATTGTGCTGAATTAGTGATCATCTTCCAGCGTTCTTTGGCGTGGAAAAAAGTTGGCTAGCAGAAAACAAATCCCCCAAAATACAAAATAGAGACAACACTTAATGTGTTTTGGTAAGCAATCTTGCATACAAACTGGAGCTATATATGCAATTTAAAAGAACCAAATGATGCTTATAAGACGCATTTCAGCAGTTCTAGACATTTATATCGTGCTCACTTCCGTGTAAAAGTGTGTAGGCAAACTAGAAAAATTCGTAAGCCGTGGATCACGCCAGAATTACGCAAAAAATTAAAATAGGAGATAACCTCTATAAAAATGTTTAAATTCTTACACATCTGATGATTTGCCGATTTTCAAACAGTACCGAAACAAAAAAAGAAAGAAACCACGATCGGCGCAAGCGGAATATCGGTTCTTATTTATGAGCGATAAGAACGGTATACGCGTGACGTGCTGTGGCCCAGATTCAATACAGTCCTGCATCACTCATATGCCCCTCTTTCAAAACTACAAGCCAGTGGGAAAGAATAATCTCGAAGAAAATTAGCTGACGCATTTAATAATTTTTCACAAGTATGGCTGTTGGCGATGCCTCGCCTGGAACTTGTTGCGATTATGTAAATCTACAAAATGACAGATCGATGTTTTTGCATACTTGTAGCGAGGAAGAGCTCTGAACTGTAATCAAAAATATAAAAAAATAGTAATAGCTGCGATTTCGACAGCTTACAAATAAAGGCCGTAAAGCACGTAGTTCGTATCATTGCACCAATTCTCTCTAAGATATTTGATAGATGTTTAGTGACTGCTGCTTTTCCAGAAAAAAAAAAGAAAGTCGCTTAGAACCCTCTGTAACACCGAGTTAGAGCGCAGCTCTTGAGGAGGAGGAGGGAAGGGTACTGAGGGGAGGGTAGACCCCTCCTCCTCACCTCCTCATCCTGCGTGCTACTCCTCCGTCCGAGCGGCGTCGGCGTAACCGTGAGGTCACGTGACCCTCGTGATGTCACCGAGGTCACGTGACGTCACCGGGGTCACGTGACCTCACGGAAGTCACATGACCTCAAAGGGGTCACGTCACCTCGCGGTTACGCCGAGGGCACTCAAGCCGGAAACGGGCGCCTAAGAACTGCGTTTTAAAAGGATGAAGTTACTAGAGTAACTGTTTTTTTTATAAAAAGGGAGAGTTAAATAATCTAACTAAAAAAATAATAATAGACTTTTATTTACAGGAATAAAGAAACGCATATAAGGTATTCCTAAGCCAAGGGAGGCTTGTGTAAATATTAAGCCCGTTTCTATTCTGCTTGTTTCTTTTTCTTTTTTACGCATTTAAAAACATTTTGCATTCAAGACTCTCAAACTTCATTGATAAATGTGACTTGTTAACCCGATATCAATTTGGCTTCCGTAAGAACCAATCGACTGAACTGGCACTACTTGAACAAAAATAATTCACAGTTCGAAAGGAAAGTCATGGTTGTTTGTATCTTTTTGGATTATTCGAGGGCTTTCCATTTGGTAAATTATACTACTTTGCAAAAAAAAAAGAAAGAAAGATTGAATGCTGCGGCCTGCGGCATTCGTGGACAGGTACGTGTTGCTGCTTTTGAAGTCGTACTTACCTCATCGAAACCGAGTTGTTCGAATGAATAATATGTCCTCCAAGGTTCAGCCCGTCCTTTGTGGTGTGCCTCAAGGTAGCATATTGGGGCCTTTACTCTTTAGCCTTTATCTTAATGACATTGTGAACATCAACCCTATTTGCAAATTTAGTATATACGCGGACGATACACGTATTTCTTTTCTGGTAATGACATCCACGACCTGGTAGATAAATGTAATTTTTCAATGAAAGCACTAGAAAAGTGGTCAGTTTTTGATTCTGTGGAAATAAACGTAGTAAAAACTAAGGCAGTTATATTCAAATAAAAAGAACAAAAAAAAAGGCCAGTTTCAGTACATAAAAACATCTCCCTAAATTCACCTTCTATAGATATTGTCGAACTTTTTAAGTCTCTTGGTGTCGTATTTTCTATCCCTATCGTGAGATAGCCTCATATACCATGTGGTAACCAAAATAGCTCAGATCACGTGTGTTATAAGTCATTATATGCCTTCTTAAAAAAAAAATTAGTTACTTTTTTATATTCAATTCAATGTTTATTTGATGAGTTGAAGAGTTTGGTCCCATATCCTGGGACCGGCTACTTCAGATCAAGTAATGTACAGTATGAATGGTGAATAACATCCAAATATAAAATGATAACACCATGAATAATACTCTCAGTTGCCGTACACGCACAAAAACAAAATACACGGTGAGAGAAGCGATTACGCAATAAATACATATGTACATATGTACAATAGATTACTGTAACATAGTAATAAACTTACTATAAAAAACGCAGTTATCTTTTAAGGGCGCGTTGTGCGTGTTTTGACCTTCGTATGATACCTAATATCTGTAAACTATCTTTGTGTCAGTAAAAAAATCACGTGGTAAAGTTGATGCCCTCTTCTGGCCTTTTAAGTCCGGCCAAGGTCCTAAAACTTTGGCCAAAGAAAAAGAGCGACTGTCGAGTATGCTTAGTCCAACTCGTAATCGAGTTCGCCACTGGTCGTATCTGGGACAGTCCATTATTATGTGCTCGACGTCTTCCACGGGGTGGCCACACGTGCAGCTCGGTGTTTCCACCTGTTGAATTCGGTAAAGAAATTTGCCGGTGTACGCAACATTTAGTCGTAGGCGATGAATTAGTGTTTCAATAGGTCTGCTCAAGTAATTATGGACTGGGCACCGAAGGTCTGGATCAATTAGAAGGAGTAGGCTCTGTTCCGAGATGCTCTTGAGCCATGTGTCAGGGGACATCATGTTTATCAGACAACGAATGTACCGCTTGGCATCGCTTTTTGTAAAAGGTGTGAGCTGAAAGTTGTTGCTTGTATATGCATCCGTAGCCAGTTGGTCAGCTTGGGTGTTTCCTAAAATACCGCTATGTCCAGGAACCCATTGAGGGTGTACCGTATGTCCAATCCTTATTGCTTCCCCAAGTTCTTCACAAATTCGGTACACAAGAGCCATATTTTCGTTGCGAGTGTTCAGGGTATTAATGGATTGTAGTGCAGGCTTGGAGTCCGTACATATAACCCAGGAATTCGCTGTTGAGCTATTTTTGATGTATATTGCAGCCGCAAGTAAAGCATGCAATTCTGCGGTAGTTGAAGAAGTATGATGTGACAACCGAAAGGATGACGAATGGTTGAACTGGGGTACCACAAATGCTGATGTTGATCCTTCATCCTTGGTTGATCCGTCGGTATACACGTGGATGTTGTCGTCGTATTTATGCTGTAGATGTGCAAGAGTCAATGTCCTTGCAACGTGTGTATTGACCGAGGCTTTTGTTTCCATGCCTGGAATGTTCATGTGGACGTCTAGTAATGGTAGCTTCCATGGTGGCTTATGAATGTCCTGAACCCAGTGTGTTTGTTCAGGGATTAATAGGGGCACGAAATTTAATGTTCGAAGAAAGTTCGTCCCTTTGCGAGAAAGAATTTCAATAAAAAATGGCCGCGCAGAAAGTCTAAAAAAATTACGACATACTTCCTGGATTCTTAGGATAGTTACTGGTGGTTCTTTGGCTGTAGCGAGTACAAGCGCACTGGATGTTGCTCGCGGAAGACCTAAGCATACTCTTAAACTTCTTGCAAGTATATAAATAAGTAAGGCGAGCTTCTGATGTGTTGGAAAGCCCCTGTAACACAGGTATAGAATAGGCAATTGCCTGTCGCACTAGCGCTGTGTGGAATGAGAGCATTGAGTCAATTGAGGCTCCCCATTTTGCACCCGCGATGCATCGAAAAACATTAATTACACTATTAATTCTCCCCTCCAGCATATCTATATGTTTGGACCAAGTCAGGGATTGATCCAGTAGGACGCCAAGAAATTTGTATGATTGAACTCGCTGAATTGAGTCTCCATTTACATTAAGTTCGAAACCAGGAAGCTTTTTCCTGGTAAATGGTATAAATGCAGATTTCGTGGCAGATAGCTCCATTCCTCGTTCTCTTAAAAAATTGTTTGTCGTGTCTAAGGCTACCTGTAACTGATTCTTTAAAATATCTGGGGACGAGCCAGAGATCCAAATACAAATATCGTCAGCATATATAGATATTCGTAAAGGTGGCTGGAGTTTCTGCGGTAACTGCGCCATTACGACATTGAAAAGAGTAGGGCTCAACACGCTACCTTGGGGTACTCCATGGTGGAGTTCATGATACTTGCTGTCTCCATCATTTGTACACACTACAATGTTCCTGCATCGAAGAAACTCTTGTATCCAGCGAAGCATGCGTCCATGTACACCAAGAAGCACAAGTCCTTCAAGAACATGAGCGTGACTAACCGTATCAAATGCTCGGCGAATATCTAGGAACACTGCCACTGTAATGTTTCCATTATCTCGTTCGTACTCTACACAGGTGGTCAGGTCTAAGATACCATCCATTGTGCATCTACGTGGACGAAATCCTGTGATTTCTTCGGGAAACGCTTTACTAGTTTCCAACCACCACTGTAAGCGGTTATGTAAGATCTTCTCGAGCAGCTTTCCGACGCAACTGGTTAAACTTAACAGGGCGGAAGGAATCCAGGCTCAGTGGTGATTTCCCAGGTTTTAAGAGCGGAACTATTTTAGCTAACTTCCACGATTCCGGTATTGTCTCTGTTTTCCAAACTTGATTGTATATTTCGAGAAGAGTGCTGGTGGCATCGGGGCCGAGATTTGCTAGTGCATCGTAAGTGATCTTATCGAGACCAGGAGCTGTAGACTTGCGGGTGTTGTGAAGCGCACAAAAAATTTCACGTATGTTGATTTCATGATCTAGCTCTGCATGCACTAGATGCCTCTTGTTCTCGAGGGTACGAGTAGCCTGCGTCTTGGAAGATTTGTATTGGGAAGTTGTTACCACATCGCTTTGTTGTGCTAACAGAGCGCAAAATTCATCCGCGATTGTTACTTCCGATATGCCCCTCAGAAGCGCTAGCGCGCGGAAGGGTTGTTTTTGCATAACAGGCGTGCGAAGAGAACGAAGTATTTTCCATACTATTGGAATCGGTGTGAAGGGGGTCAGATTGCCGCTGAACTTTCTCCATCGGCGGACTGAAAGAATTTGCAGCTCTCGACGCATGAGCTTGTGAATATGTTGGGCCTGGTTATAGTCTTCAACATCTCCTGATCTTCTATAGCGGCGCTCTGCTCTTCGTCTTTCTGCGCGTAGCTTTTCGTATTCACCATTGACACCAACGTGTCCGTTAGGTACAGGTACAAGACGCGTTGCCCGTTCGTAACTAAGCAAGATCGAGTTCGCAAAATCATCGGGCTCTTTCAAATCGGTATGTTTTAAAGTATTTAAATGTCTGAACATCTGCCAGTTTGTTATCCGTGCTCTATGTTGCTGCCCACGAATATTAAGAAGAGGGTGTTGTACGAGAATGGGAAAATGGTTGCTACCTCGGGTTTCTTTGTCTGTCATCCATGTCATTTGAGGTGAAATGTCTGGAGAACATAGAGTCAGGTCTAAACAGCTGCAGTAGGTAGGGCCACGAACAAAGGTCGGCGATCCGTCGTTGAGGACGCATATGTTATACTTGTCCACATACTCGGCAATGACATTTCCACGTCGATCGCAATGGTCACTCCCCCACATTGTGTGGTGTCCATTGAAGTCTCCACATATAATAAAAGGAGCAGATACCCCTTAGCAAAAAGAGGCCGTACTTCAAACGAAGTTGAAATATATTTAGTACGAATATTCATTTTGTATTTATTCTGTATGATTTTGGCCGCATTCGAAATACGCGCGTAATGTATTCAAAATACATTATAAATATGAATCAAAAATATTTTAGATATACCAAAAATATTATCCCTTCACACTCAAGACGCCATTTGTGCATTAAAAACCGGTTACACAATTTTTTTTTTATTTTCGATTTTGTCAGCAAATGGAGTCCCTGTGGTATTTGAAGGCACTACTAGATACATCTCACAAAGCTACATTAGAAACGAACACAAACACAAACACCATGACGCACTGAACAGCTCATTCACAGTCCCGTTGACTGCTCTAGAGCCTTATATAGCCTACATATTGAAGGTAATCATTTTTTCGGTGACCAACTCTGCGCTTATTAAGGTTCCAAGTATTCGATCTTCACCTCGGGAGTCTATCAAAGGGGAAACAGTGTTTTGAAGTTCGTGGACGATATCTCTTAGTAAAAGGCATTGGTAGAACTAATAACAATTCGGCGCAGTCCTTAAAACAATATCCACACAAACGGCTCATAAAATACATGTTATTGCTTCTCTGCGTAGCACCACTCAGGACGAAGCGAATCAAGGCAGTATCTTCACTTTAAAATACTGTAAACGACTTTATTTTCGTGAGGACCTAATTCTCGCAATGTTCGCGAATCGCCCACAATTCCGAAAAATAGGTCCCGTGAACAATTCCGGCAAAATGCAAAAATATTAAAATCTATATTGCGATCCCAGCGCGTCGCGAAAATTAGAATTTGCGAATTATTCCAAAACTCCAACTTTGACCTAAATCGCGAAATATTGAGCCCGCGAAAAATAAATATCTAACACTAGTTGTTTTGCCTTTCTATTTTAGTAGTTGACTATTTAATATGGTAGTTAATATCACTTATTGAAGTCACTATTCACATCACGTACAATGGTGAGTATACACGTTCAGTGAACTAACATTGTGCTAACAAAACCACTCCAAACGTATCTGTTCACAGCACCTGCTGAAGCTTTCCAGCATCAGTCAATGTTGTAGTTGTAGTCCCCGAACCCCGTTTGTGATTGGTGTGCAAGGAACTGATCAGGTGTGTCCTTGATAGAAAAAAGGAAACAATAACATAAACTGGGCTGATTTATCAGTGCGATGCTCCGCAATTCAGTTGACAAACTAATCAAATGTTGTATTTAGGCGCTTCAGTGTACTCCATATCTACTTGAAGTGAACTTCTAGAAGGGGAGCTTTTCAATATTTTGGTAGTTTAAGTCAAACTACCAAAGTATTGCAGTCAAAAGGTACTTAGAGTATAACACAACAGTATTTACGATTTTCAGGTATTTTAAGAGTATTCTGCACGTATTTTTGATTGCTCCATTTTTTTAGGGTTGGAGTATATTTTGCATGAATTAAATAAATATTTCAAGAAATATACGTGAAAGGTATTTTGTGCCTATTAATTTAGAATTTACATATTCAAAACGCATGAAGGGAACTTCAAATGTAGTTTAAGTAAAGGTATTTTAAACTGATTTTTAGAAGTATATTTTAGTACTAAGTAAAAAAAAAGAAGTTTATATTTTCGGTCTATTTTTCGTGTACTTAAAATTATGAACTGTATTTCAAATACACTCAAATTAGAATGTGGTATATTTCAAACGTATTAGTTTTCGCTAAGGGACGTTACGAAATATTTCAGAAAACCCAAATGAAGTTATTGGAGTTTGCGGTTCGATGTACACGCTCACAACTCTAACTGAAGACTTACCACACCGTACTTTGCAGGCGACGAATTCTGGACTATCTTTCGTAGAAGACGACAGATGTACTGATACCAGATCTTTCTGTACAGCTAGCATCGCTCGACTTTGACCATTTTGACGAGATGATTTGTACTGCACGTAGTTTGAGAGGCGAAAGTCGTCGTCCACGCGAGCTTCGGTTAATGCAAGTATCGGTATGGTGTTCTTTTTAAGAAATTGACGAAAATCACCAGACTTTTGTCGTAATCCGTTGGCATTCCACTGAAATATTCCTATATGGCTGTACAAATCAGGCATTGGAATACTCTTCATTCATCGATGTTCGTGAAGACTTAAGTAATCTTTCCATAGCGAATAGGGCTGTTACCTCAGGAAGATTGTTGGCTGCGGGCACGGCGCTGAGTATGGCCCTTAGAGCCGTAAAAAACATCGGTACTAGCAAATGCGAGACGTCGCTCGATTGCCGTGTTTCAAAGTAATCCTCCCGATGATCGCGTCTGCGTATATCACGCTTCTGTGTGCGGGGTGCTGGCACAGGGGAGAGGTTTGATGCTCGGTCTCCTGGAGGCGTTTCACCAGGTATCGTCGAGTTTAGGTGAGATGGAGTCTTGAAGTTGATCTGGGCGTTTAGTTGGCGGTTTAACACGTCGGAATACTGCGGCCTTTGAGGTCGTTGAGATGCTTGTGTCTGCTTTGATGATGTAGAGGGACGAGGGGGAAGTGGAGGTGGGCGAGAAGGTGGTAGAGGAGGCAGCGGGGTGCGTGTGACCTCAAGATTCGGGGAAGGATAACGGTTATTTTGTATTGGTCCATTTAGGATTTCATGTTTTCTGGCTGCAGCTGCTGCCTTTTTGTGAGGACAGCCTGAAAACGAAGCGCAGTGATTGCTTCCACAATTTGCACACTTTGGATTAGTTTTGTCCATGCAGTCCTTGTAGCTGTGTGGTCCAGCGCACACCTTGCATCTCTGTTGGCCGCGACAGTGTCTTGCGAGATGCCCATGTCGTTGGCATCGAAAGCACTGTACCGGGGTTCCAAAGTACTCCATCACAGGATGACTGGTGAAGCCCAATAGGACCCGTGCAGGCATTTGGTGATTTTGTGGAAAGTGAAGAAGGACACTTTCTGTTGGGTGTTGCTCCATGCTGCCGTCTTCTTTTCTTGAGTATGCAATTTGTCGTTGGACTGCGATGACACAGGCGTCCTTCAGGTAGTCTAGCAGTTCGTAGTCTGAGTATTGGACAGGAATGTTGTTGACCTTGCCAACATTGCGCGTGTATGACTCGGACACGGTCACTGTCACGTCGATTCCGACAAGAGATTTCATCATAAGAAGCCTGTTCGTTGAGTTCAGCGTCGCCGTGTTGACCGTGATTGTGCCATCTTTCCTTATGCGAGGTGCTAGTAATTTCTCTTGGGATACTGTCACGATTTCTTTTGCTATTCTGTTGGGGTTGATTTTCCAGAACGAGGTTCCCTGTTCTTTTGGCTTGATAATCAGTGGGATTCCGGCGGGGCGATTTTTCCGCACTGTGACTTGAGTGAAGTCGTCTTCGTCTCCAGGAGTGCCGTCATGAAACGAGTAGTTGGATGTCCTGTCGTCGTCCATTTGTTCCGAGGGAAGATTCACGCACTGTTTCTTCAATGGAATGTCGTCATTGACGTCTTTAGCCGTCAGTTGAGGTTCTTGTAGTGGTTGACGCGCTTCCGCTGCAGAAATGTGGCTCGTAGTCGCGACGGTATCCATTTGAGCGTCCGAGGTCAATGTTTGGTGGATCGAGTCATTGGAGCGGGGCAACTCTGTCGCAAGTGGTCGCTTTTTAGGCGGCAGGGTTGTGCCCGGTAATAGCCCCGTAGGGACCAGTTACGAAAAAGAATGTTGAAGTAGCCAAATTGAGCAGATTAGCATAAAATTTCAGGCTTACAGGAAGAGCGGCAGAAAATGGTGCTGGCTATTCCAATCGTCGTCGTCGTTTTCCTTACTTTTTTTTATAATTCGCTCTTTCACTCTCATCTAAACTTTTGTCAATTCGGATGGGGAACAACAACATTTTCAAACCTGCAACACGTTTATATATTACAAGAAAAATGACTCCGGCATATTTACAACATGCCTTATGGAGCTCCAAGAACCAACTTCTTTTATCGCTCCCATGCGATTGGAGAGTTCAACTTGTACAGATATCGATTAAGTTTGCAGTATAAATTAGAAACACGAAACAATATCAATAACATACGTAATCTGGCACATCTTCAAATAAAGGACATAACTAGCTACTCAACAAGAGACAGAGAAAATGGGGTAATGCCTACACCTCGCTAGAACTATGGAAAATATTGCTTACTCAAAAGATTGCTTACTCGTATATACTACCTTCTTTATTAAACAGTTATCGGCTTGTAAATTTTGATTTATTCACCTGAAAATAGAGTGAACTTTTACAAAGTAGGAAGCCGAGATGGTATGATTTTTACAATTTTTTGTCTAAGGTTCACGATGTTTTTTCTTCGCCCAGTGCACTTCTTTCCTGGTGAGTGTGGTTTTCAAATGTATTGTTAAGATTACTTTTTTCCTTTTTTTTGTCTGTGAATAGCTTAGCATGATGCTGCTTAGCTGCCAATATTAAGGGTCTGTGGTCTCGTCAAGCTGCAATGCTGCAGCCTTTTTTTTTTAGAGCGCAGCTCTTAGGGGCCCGTTTCCGGCTTGAGCGGCGTCGCCGTCGCCGTCGCCGTTGCCGTCGCCGTCGCCGTCGCCGTCGCCGTCGCCGTCGGCGTAACCGCGCGGTGCATCATGGGAAATGTCCCATAATGCACCGCGCGAGCCCCCCCACCGGGGTCACGTGACCTCGTGGGGGGTCACGTGACCCCCCCGAGGTCACGTGACTCCCCTGAGGTCACGTGACCCCCTCCTCAAGGTCACGTGACCCCCTCCTTAAGGTCACGTGACCCCCGAGGTCACGTGACCCCCCGAGGTCACGTGACCCCCGCCGATGTCGCGTGACCCCCGATGACGTCATCGTCACTGATGACGTCACCGGCATCCCCATCGTCATCGTCATCATCACTGATGACGTCACCGGCATCCACATCGTCATCGTCATCATCACTGATGACGTCGCCGGCATCCACATCGTCATCGTCATCATCACTGATGACGTCACCGGCATCCGCATCGTCATCGTCATCATCACTGATGACGTCACCGGCATCCCCATCGTCATCATCATCATCACTGATGTCACCGGCATCCACATCGTCATCGTCATCATCACTGATGACGTCACCGGCATCCACATTGTCATCGTCATCATCACTGATGACGTCACCGGCATCCACATCGTCATCGTCATCATCACTGACGACGTCACCGGCATCCGCATCGTCATCGTCATCATCACTGATGACGTCATCAGTGACGTCACTGATGTCGTCACCGGCATCCGCATCGTCATCGTCATCATCACTGATGACGTCATCAGCGACGTCACCGATGACGTCACCGACATTCGCATCGTCATCGTCATCATCACTGGTGAAGCCATCAGTGACGTCACTAATGACGTCATCGGTACCCGCATCGTCATCGTCACGGATGACGTCATCAGTGACGTCAGTGATGACATCATCGGCATTGGGGGTCACGTAACCCCCGAGGTCACGTGACCCCCCCCCCCTGGTTAGTTTACCCCCCCCCCCCCCCCCCCGTGCCCTTCCCTCCTCCTCCTCAAGAGCTGCGCTCTAATTCGGCGTTACAGGGAGTTGTAAGCGGCTTTCATTTTTTTTCTTCCCCAGCTCCTTTATCTGTAGTTGTACGTGGTGAAAATAAATTGGTTCCATGCGATTTTATTTTATTTGACGTTCCTACTGGGTTTTTGTTGTGTAATTGTGCCAACGTGATGCACGTTAAAGAGCCATCGCGGTCGTACTGCACCGAATGAATTGCTTCCCTACAGCGCTGAACCGCCATATCTCAGGAGCAGACCGACCTCTTAATGTAGAAACATACAAAACCCTTTTAATTCTCTACTTCGCCTGGTTATTTCTTTCGAGTTACTGCATCACATAAATAGACTTTCCCGATTTCCCGTAGCCTGTTCACTTTCTAGCAAATACCCAGGAGTCCAGGACTAAGTTTTAACTCGACTTTTTGGGACACTCGTATAGTTTGGCGCTGTGCCGCAATGTTTTCTAATGTTCTTTACGAGACGCGTGCCCCGTAAATTTGGTCACTGGTAGGTGGTATTTACTGGCGGCCATAGCTGAGTGCGCGACTGCTGAGCGCGTGTTTACGACAAGCTTTCACAGTTCTTTTAAAACGTGCACTCCACACCATCGAGGTTGCCGGTCTTAGCAGCTTATTAATGTGAGCTCGTTCCGAACATGCGCTCTGAAAAGCGCCCACAAGTATGGCGTTCAGTATTGCTACATGTAAAAAAAAAAAAAAAAAGAATGATGGATGGATGCAGGGCAGGGTTCAGTCTTTTTAATGAGGTAGTGGCTTGCGCCACCGGCAGTCCCTTTAAAAGGTTAAAAGGGACGCCAGCAACTGCTCCAAGCGCAAAGCTATTTCGGGAACTCCCCGCCGACGCTCAATATCCGTTATAGATTTTCAGATTTTTTTCCCCCCGTCGAAAACGACCTGTGCTTTCAGAATGGCCTACTATCCCCAGCCTCGAAAACCTTCCCTCAAAAAGACACAAGAAATCAATCAGAGAACGAGACGGATGTTCGATTGAGCGCTGCTGCTTCGACCAGAATTCAAGGGCCTCAATTCAGAGGGAAATTTCCCGGCGAATGGTCCTCCCCGCTGCCACGGGGACGAACGGTCTAAGGAACGGTTGAACCGATACCACGTAGAAGGCAAGGCCTGCCCATGACGTCATCCTTAGCGAACCCGCGACACGCCCCAAGCAGCAAACACACTCAAGTTCAGCGAGACTTGGCCTAGCGGCAGACGCGTGCGTCTTGCTAGGAACAGCGTCTCAGCTGAGACTGGGGGAAAGGAAGCACCGCCGAAGCCAGCGCACGAGCTGACCGGGGTTCTAGGAGCGTCTCAAGACGCTCGCACGCCCCAGCCTTTGCACTGCATGGATCCACTGGTGATGACGTCCCGGGGGAAAAGACGCCTGCCTTGCCTTTTATGTGATAGTGGCCAAACCCAGCGGCGAGTGCGTAAGTGCGCGCGTGACGTGACCGTGTCTCGTCAAGCTTAACAAACACTTTCGTGCCCGTATAGCGTAGCTGTGGTCCCATTAGGAGGCCTTACTCGACAAATATTGCCAGTCCGTCCATTAAGGCGTGAAGGACGAGCCCTTCTGCCTACGAGGGCCTCTCAAGTCTTCTCCAACGCATTGGCCCGCTCGTATGATCTACACGTGCAGAACTTGTGTTGGCTACGCTTACAAGACTTTGACCCCTAAAAAAATATTGTGCGTCTAATTTCTTGTAAAACGTCCGGAGAAGGTTGGATTGAATCAGTAACAGCCCCCCCCCCCCCCCTCCCCTTTTCCAAGAAAAAAGGAATTGCAGGCTGGGTTCAGAAGAAGGGGGAGCGGGGGGGTATTGGTGGGGTTCCATGCTTAAACGAACCTATCCAAAAATGGCGAAAAAACCAGCAGACGCTCCATTTTTTCCCTTCAGACGCTTCCTACGTTCCTTACCGCCGAGCATCATCCTTCTGTCGCTCATCGTTAGAAAGTAAAAGGGTCTCACTACTTCGAATGAAGGTACAAATGCAGCAATATACAACTGACACAAAATGAATCGTTATGGCACATCGGAAGCGCCTCTACCTTCTTTGAAGGTGTTTTCATCTTCTTCTTAAAACTAGTACAACCATAACTTAGAGCTCTCGAGAAGCTGTTCACCCTCTTCAGGTAAGAATTATGACGCAACAGCTCGCGCGCGCGGAACAAGCCTCTTTTTTTTTTTTTTAATGCACCCAGAGATCTAATTTTGTCTCTACTCTTTTTTTCTTTTTTTTTCTTTTCGGACCTTAAATCTGCGACAACCCAGTACGCCCGCTCGTAGAAGGTGCGGTCAACCCGAGCACAAGATCCTCCAGAGTTTCATCATTCGCTATCGTAAAAAAGCGGATATGTGCCGAGCCATTATTGTCGACGACGACGACGCAGGTGACGCAGACTGCGCCGTAAATATACGCTCCCCCCAAACGGTCGTCGGGCCTACGGAGGAAAACATAAAATCCGTAAATCCACGGCGAAGAAAACGTCTCGCGGTTGTGCGGACGCTGCGACCATTGCGGAGTGTGCCACGGCCACTGCCGAGCACAGGCCGCAGCCGGCGACGTTTATAGCTGCACGCGATATTGTATGGGCGCCATCATTTTTAATTATGACAAGTCGGATTAATGCCGCGTGCTTTCCAGAGAGAGATGGCTCGCCCGAACATCGGAGCAGCGCCCTCCCGTGTGGCCCCGAAAACTTTCATTTCTTCGGAATGGCCTATGGAAAAGTGTTTCAGACTTTTACTTGTTCGAGATGGCTCGAAAAGTGTTTCGAACTAACGACGCCCTTGGCACCCATTTTCTGTCGCGCCGCACTCACTCTTCCTTTGTCTACGTGTACCCTGGCTTTCAAGGGAAAATATTTTTACGGGCTTACTTTGCCGGCTAGAACGCCGCGTAAAAGCGTCGCGCACGCAGGTTTCATCGGCGTCCGCCAGGCGTCTTTACAACAAACCCGTCTTAAAGTGTAGATGCACTCTTTGAGGCGGTGATTTGGACGG